ATTTAGAGAAATGTTTGGAATGATCCATGTGAAATTTGGAATAATGATCCCTTGGGGAGAAGGAAAGGAAGAAGGAGGTGTGCTGGGAGTGGAGAGAGAGAAGAGGAATGCAGAGGAGGTACATAGAAGGGTCCAAGTACTTTGGAAGTTTATTACTTCTTATTGAGGGAGTACATGATTTTTCATTATATCAGCTTGAAATGTAATAATACAATGAAATATACATAAATACATAATAAATTGCGAAACATGTGGAGAACAGGTTGTTAATTCTGAATGGGCAGTAACTAGAGAAACCTTTCTGGATTAGTTGGCTTAATGGTTAAATTAGTTTTGATAGGTGAGGGGACATTTATTGAGTTTGGATGGCAGAAAGTGAGACTCTGAGATGATGCACCAGCATGGGCAAAGGTATGGAAGAGTTCTAGAAACAGCTAGCTTAGAAAGCACAGAAATATATAAGCTAGAATAAAAGAGTTTAATCAGGCAACTGGGAACAGACCATCAAAGACCTTGAACACAGCAGAAATATAACACTAGGTTTTGTAAATAGGAAATTGAAAATGGGTCAGGATTATAATCATCATCATCATCATCATCGTGTTAGTGGGAATCGAATCCAGGATTTGGTATGAGATAAGCATGCACACCACCACTGAGCTACTTCCCCAGCCCCTACTATATTTTAACAGAATATTAATCTTATCTGAACCTATTTTACATGTATACCACTCTCCAATAGAAATGAAAATAAAAATCCTAATTCATCATGAGTCATCTATCAGATCCACCAGAAAAAAAGTCATCCTCAGGCTTGTGATAAGTAATAAATACCAAGATGTCTCACTGGTCATTTGAAGTTTTTTCTTATGACTATTCATTCATTTTTCCACTGGATCATATCAAGTGAAACTTCAGGTATAAAACATTGTCCTGAGAAGGACAGAAAGACTGGTTGTTGCTGTTGTTGTTTTAATCTAAATCTTATTAAAATTTTCAGAACTACTTTTTTTTCATGTGAGCACCATTTGGTCACCAGCAGGTATCTTTCATTGGCTTCTTATGGCAGAGTCTGAAAAATATGGGTTGATCGATGATGATTCATCAGAGACACCTGCAGAGATGATGAAAGTTTATGGTACAACATTATGGAAGGAGGCACAACACTTGGCAAATTGAACCACACATTCCCTTGTTTTTTTTTTTGTTTTTTGTTTTTTGTTTTTTTTAACATTAAAACTGCCATTTGAAAAATGACTTCCAGTGAGGGGAAAAAAAAAAATTAAAGCAGCAGGTGATAATTAGGGCAAAGTTACAACAATATTATTGCCGATGGTCTACCTGTCAGTTAATTCAAGTTATCACTTCTCCCCCAGGAAGAGCTATTATTAAAAACAACTTGTGAGGGTTAAAGAAGGGATGTGAAATGTGTTAGTCTCCATACTAGCTCAATGGGAATTGGCATAAAGATGGCTCTATTAACTATCTCAGTCCTAGCACAGACTCTCGCACAAAAACGGGAAGTTATAAACGATCAAAACATAAACCTTAGCAGCCTTGTGTTAAAAATCAATTTTCCTAATATATTAAAGTCAAATATTATATACTGGTATGCAATATCAAGAATGATGTGCTAATAACTGCTCCGTTGGCAGAGTGAAGAGTGCAAGACAGGAGGGATATATAAATTTAGTAATTTAGAAAACCTGGTACCAAAAGTAACTTTTACAGTGAAAGGTTTACGGTTCAGTTCAGTCATTGGGCTATAACAGTATTCTCTGAATAGCATTTTCATTACTAAGCAAGCAACTTCTTTTGGAATCATTTCTTTAGATTTACTTATTTATCAACTACAATCTTTTTTGGGAAATAATTCATTTAGGCTTTTGCTGATGTGAAGTATGAGCTCATTCATACTGCTCATATCAAGTTTAAGCTCTGTCTTTTATTCTACCTGTAAGAAATCTGATGATCTGCTGTTTTACTCTGGTTTGCTGTGCAGCATTCTATTGTGTTCATACTGTATAGTTCTGTGTGAATCAACAGCTTTTTTTTCAACCTTGGCTATTCAGAGAAATACTCTAATAGCTCATTTTTGTTACTGTTGATAAACATTTGAGGAGTGCATAAGTAAATATATGAAAAATATTATACAGTTATTCATATGTGCAAAATACCCACACACATTTATACACACGGCACTTTAAAGGTTTTTGATGTATCATATTTATAAAGATGCATGTACCAGAATAGTATGACTTTTCATTCGTATTGAGTATACAAGCACCTGCTGAAACTTATGTCCCTCTTGTCATCACACCCTCGAGTGTTACCGTTAGCCTGACTTTTATTTTGTGGTACTGGGTATTGAACCCCGGGCCTTTGCACTGAACTATGTCTCCAGATCTTGTGCATTTTTTTTTTCCAAGTTTGAAAGTAGATCTCACTGAGTTTCTAAATTGTCCAGGTTGGGCTCAAAGTTGTGACCTTCCTGCCTCTCAGAGTGCTGAGGGCACAGACATTGTCAACCGCACCTGGTTTTATCCTGACTTTAAGTGGCATATGTATGTTTTGACTGTTTTTGTATTCTATATAGATGAAGTCCTGTGAAAAATATTATTGTATGTGTCACTTCTTTCACTGAGCATATTTGTGAGATGCATATATGCTACCATATTTGAAACAGACTGCTCCTTCTTAGCATTGTAGAATGTTTTGTGATAGGAATATACCACAAACTAATTCTTTTGAATATTAGGTCACCTCTGGTTTGAGAGTTATTATGAATAGTATTCATCTGAATAGCACATTTGGTATACATTTGACAGTGGTACATTTCTGAGAATGGACCATAGGGTTTTCATATATCTAGCTATAGTAGATGTTTCAAACAATTGCCCAAAAATGGTTGTACAATTTACGTAGCACTTGACTTTTTGAGGAATCATTCTAAGAAAGGGATTTCAGCCTCTTAAGAGAAACACTTTTGGTAGCATGCCCAGGGACTTGTGTTCGATCCCTAGCATTGGAGAAACAGAAGTTTTTAGGATCACTCAGACCAAATTCATTTTACCACTAAACTGCCACACCATCTTGGACAAAAGAACTTAACTTAAATCCTCAGTTTATTCAACTGTAAAGTAAGTACTGGAGTAGATACTTTTTGAAATTTATGAGAATTGAGAAATTATTTTAATCAACTTGGAACAGTGACTAGCACATAAATGCTTAGCATATTATATGGTAGTTGTTAACTTCTCATTGGTGATTGAAAGATAAAATGAAGAATTAGAAACAAACATCAGCAATACCATCCAGAAACAAAATCTCTGATGGAAGAAAACTATTAAAGTTTGACCCAACAGGCATTATCATTTCCAGAGGGTACTACACTTGGACTTAGAAAAAAAATTATAAACATTATCCCAAAATCTATTTGCCAGGTTCTTAGATGCAGAGTATTACCATCTATTTTTTTTTAACTTCCAGGCATTATTCTTGAAAGACAGAGGACTCACTGATATATATTTTATTTGCCAATTTCACACATTTCTCAATCCAGTCTCGAAAGTTCTTGGTTTTCGTAGATTCTTGGTTTGTATCTGACAACTTTCCCATCTGTAAAAATCATAAAGACGAGCCCACGTCTTTGCTTTAAAAGACAAAGAACGTGGGTTTATTTTATTGGATGAGTGTGTTGACCTCAAAGGTTTCAGTAACTGCCAGATTAGTACCCTATTAGTTGACACAGGTACACTCTGTACAAGGATACTGCTTTAACTAATTGCTCCAGGGGCAGCAGGCTCAGCCAGTTTAAGTAATTTTGGAAGGTGACACTGTGTTCCTATTAAATTGAATCAGATCCCATATATCAGTCACTATTCTCAAGAATTAAAGCACACGATCTACTTGAAAAGATGTCATCATCTGAAACTGTGGGACACCTGAAAGAGAACTTTTAGAACATTGAATTGAACCTCTTTGATTTATAAAATGAAAAAAACAGTCATTTAAAAGTCTTGCCTAAGGTCAAATAGTTTGTTCTCTGGACAGGCAGTAAAGTTTGTCTTCTCATTCACAGTCCAGAGATCTCTGTTCCAGGTGCCTCCTCGGGCCCCACAAATCTGTTTTCTACCCAGATTTTATAAAGATCCTGACGGGATCCAGAAATGGGGAAGGTGGAGCGTGACTTAAAACGAGGGAGTGACAATCCATTAAATTGTTAACAAGTGTAAGCGGAGTGAGGCTTCCTTGGTAGAACAAAAGATCAAAGAGGGAAGGCAGCCCTTCTCCGTTTGGGGTATTCCTAGCACCTAGTTTACCAGGTAAGCCCTGATCCTTGTCAAACGGAAAAAACAAAACAAATCAAAAAAACAACCAATCTTAGAGATGTCAGCGAGAGAAAATGTACCCTTGTTTCCTCTCCCACCTCTTTCCATTATTATTAAGAAAACGCGCAGCTTGGATTCTAAAGAGGAGAAATCACGTACAAAGCATGGTAACACGGTGCCTGGCTCGTTGTGAGTAATTAATGTCAGTTTATTTTTCTTCCTTTCCAAGTGTGGGCTCGGAAGGGTGAGGGAGTGATGAGCCACGGTGTTTCTGTGCTTGAGCAGAAAGTGAAATGAGTATCTGAAGAGGCCGGTGAGAGAGGCCTGTCGGTGTCCTTCTGAACCGTAGAGATCAATTCCAGGGCCCCTCAAAACGCACAGCTATTTTACCCAGAGAGGCTGGTCGCTTTTGTTGATCGATTCTGGGCTGCAGTCAGCTTTTTAATACTTTTTATAAGCGTCAGCTACATAGCGGCAGGAGGGGCAGCGGTGGGAAAAGTAGGAAAGCACACCAGTACCTTCCTAAGAAAAGTAAAAGCAGCCCGCGGCGGTGAGGACTGCGGTCTGCGGGTCTAACGGCCCGGGGCTCCCCGCCCCTGCGGTCCCGCCCTACGCCCGCGGCTGAGGTTCAAGTTCACCCCCGTTGGCCTTGCCCTCTCCGCTCCGAAGCCGCCGCTCGTCCCCAAGGTCCCGCTGGCCGACGAGGGGACCCCGAGGTCACCCGGGCACGGGGTCACTCGGCCACGCACTGTGCTACCACGTGGGGGAAAAAGTTTCCAATTCCGCCTGTTGGGCCTCCCAGCGCGCCCGGGCAGAGCAGAGGCCCGCGCTCGGGCACCCGCTCCCTTTTCCGTCGCCTCAAGTCGCAACCCATCCCCGAGAAGCCCCCACCCTTCAAGCGTCCCTTCTCCGACTTTCTTCCTTTCCTGGCTGCTCGGGTCACCCAGGAGAAAAGGCCCGTGGGGCTCCGGAACGGTCTGGGCGCCCCAGGAGAGCCGGAGACTGGGTTAAGAGCAAGTGTCC